TCGCGTTTGATGGACACATTCCATGAGAGGGAGGGGTAGGCAGATCTGCTGACGGTCTCGATCAGTGGTTGCGCTGCAGCGGGCCGGAGCAGCCTCAGATACAGACTACTGCCGGGTGCTGTTTTACCCAACTTTCAGGTTTCTCCGTTGGGTGACTCGTCATTGAGCCGATTTTCATATGAAATACCGTGATGTAATGCCTGCCCGTCCCGGGACCGGCTGGTTGGACACAGAGCTGTGATGTGATGTCCGCGCAGACCCAGTACAGTTCAGCGTGCTGTCGTCGGGCGGAGCCGGTGCCCGTTTTTTGTCGACGCCCGGCTCCATCAGTCTGTCTCGGCTGTTTCTGGATGAGATTGTCTGATAAACCGCTCACAATCCAGCGGGATATTTATTGCAGTTATTCTCGGACAGACTGATAAAGCCCTGGGCCAAAGCGGATCATTTATGGAATAAGAAATGAAATATGCTGATGTCTGATTCGTAAGCTTTTAGAACACTTTGATGCATTTCCGAACCATTTCGCCCAGCCTCAAGTTGGAGACTTGAGGATTGGGTAGCATTCCCTCGTCAACCAACGAGACATACATGAAACGATGTGCTCCTTATCGAGAGAACATTTTGTTAATTGAAATGCCAGCTAGCAAGCACTAAGGATGTACTGAATATTTTAGTTTTAAACCTTTTATTATTGTCATTGCCATATGCCCAAATACTCGTATTTCCCGCTTAACCACATTATTGCACTGAATATGGTCGTAACACATGCAGCGTTCATTATTAGCTGTGGTTTCGGCATCAGCAGTGGTTTTCCCACCGCTCTCTGCAGCCCTGTATTTGCACTGCGCAGCAGTGTATCATCTTCCTCTTACGCCGGCGAGTTTGATGGATATTGATGAGCAGCTTTCCGGCCAAACATTGGAGCTGTATGTTGAGAGACCAAACAGCGGGCCGACTGAAGACCGATGTGGGCTGCTTGCTGCGGCGGCGCGGAGGGGGACCTCTCAGGGCCGCCTCTGTGCGTGTGCGCCGTCTTCCGTCAGCTCGGCCGAGGTCACTCGACAGGAAGTGTCGTCCAGCGCACTCAGCGGCGGGCGGCGGTGGCCTGCGCTCTGCTGCTTGGCCCGATCCCAGGCGTAATTATCGCAGCCCGGCGGTGACAGCCGTTTTGCAGGCCGGCCGGCGGCGCTGCAGCCCGTGCCATCCCACGCACGCACTCCCACGTGCTCGAAGCATTTGGAGCGCAGCGTTCATGACGATCCCGTGCGCCCGGCTGGGCCGCTCCGCTGCACCGGTGTCTGTGAGTCGGTGCCAGCGGGCGCGACCATTAGCGCATTCCGGGCTGAACAGGCGTAATTGCTCGGCTCGGTGAGTGGCGACGCCGTGCGGTGAAGACAGTCCCTTAATGACGTCCGGCAGTGGGGCGCACAGAAGACGCTCACACATAAACCGCCTGCTTCCTGTTGGCCTATTTGTGCGGACTAAACGTGCTGGCCGGAGGAATGCGTCTTGTCAGGTATCATTTTTGTCATGCCATTGGATTGTAATGCTATTATTATGAGAATGTTACGCGCGTTTTTTTACGTTCCAGGCCATCGTCAGACTACTGAAGTATAGGTAATTTACATACACTCAAGTTATTGCAAACCGTTAGTAGTTTTATTTAGTCCCGTTTCAAAATGTTAAAAACCGCAAATGGCTCCTTTTACGACTTGGCTCCGCAAAGGTCTAGGCTCCTTTACCTACATGCCTAGACTAGCTCGCGTAAAGCAAATCACTTTTCGCCATAGCCACGGCCGCTTGTGCCTTTAGGAATGGGATGATATTTATTCACTTGAGTCTGCATTAAATAGCACATTTGTGAAAAGGAACTCCAATTACGATAGCGATCTGATTCAAGTAGTTTTAAATTGAGCTATAATCATGAAACCGGATCGTCCGACAGTCCATATCACGTTCATCGCTCTTGTAAGCCGGGGATATACCGTTACTCTGGGACTCTGTATTCACTGTGGACGCTTACCGCCGTGCCCCGAGCCACGCCCCGGGGCAATAAGGGGCTTCATGAAAGGTCATCACTCGGGCCAACTGGGTTACTGAATCAATGATCGTCACTGTTTTACGACGATCTATCGTCAACTTTACCGGCTCATGTGGCATGACACCCGTTGGCGCCGGAACCGGCCCGAACTAAAGAGTACCTATATCCGTTGCCCGCGGTGGGTCGTTGGCTTTGTTCTTAAGCGTTTTTTTTCTTTTGTAATGTTCGAATTCGTTCGTCAGATGCTCCACTACCGTTTGCTGCGACAGTGGGTTGTGGATTGGCTCGGTTTTGCCCTGCCCTGCATATAGAGACTTGCGCTGCCTCTGATAGGTATATAGTAGGCCGTGACTCTGCCCTACGCAGCGGGTATCGTGCCGGTGGGTGTTGGATAATACCGTTTTCCAGTCCAGTAGAGCACGGACCCGGACGTGCGCCGTGAGCTGCCACACCGTTATCGTTATCGTCCGTAATGGCATGTCCTATCTATACATCTGTCCATCTGTCTCCGGTCAGCGCTCCAGCGTTCCAAATCCACATCGCCTGAAGCGGGAGCCGGCAGGCGGGAGCCGGCGTCGGAAGTTTGGCCAGTGGTGTTGGGAGTCTGGTCATCGACGTTACGAGTCTGAATAGAAGCGTCAGAAATCTGACTGGTGTGTGAAGCGGCGGTCTGTTTCCGCGCCAACCTGTCAACGAATAGCTGTGGAGTGTGGAGGATAGTCTGAGGCGAAGCTGCCGGTGTTCCTGTCGTGCTGTGGATTACCACGAGGCGCAAAGCTCCTTTCTGTCGCCCAACCCTGGCCACCTGTCAGCCTTCTAATGGCTTCTGTCAGCCGCTCTGACCAGGGAACCTCCCCAATGCACGCGGGGCTACCTGGCTCTGACGGCTGACCTTCCGTCTCCGTTCAGCCTTCAGAGACAGCTCCTACCGCCGCGCTGTCGTCCCCATCCGACCCCCAGCGGCGCGGCCGCGACCCTTCGTTAGCGTTTCATTGGCGTTTGATGGCGCTCCCGCCGGGCCCACTTGTTTGTTTGCTCGGCTCGGGTCTGATGTGGAGCGTGGCCGTGACACGATGCCGGCTGCCGCCTCCGCCGACAGCCCCCGATCAATTCGACCCTGGTCGACCGCCGCGCTCGGGCCCGAGCGGTGCCTCGAGCGTCCCGACCCGGTCGAACCCCTCCCACGCTCTGAACCATCGGTCTTTGTGTGGCCAGTACTAGGGCCGGCTCCTTCAGTGCAATAACCACCGCCGGGGTTGAAGTACGACGACGACGCCCCATTCGGCCTCACAGCTGCAAAGTTGACCCCATTATGCATGGACGTGACCTATCGGAGCAAACCCGGGCGGCGCGGCGGCGGCGGTGTGGCGGACAAGCGGCCAGGCACTTTCGCCGGCACACATACACATTACACACACAAACAAACATGCACACACAGCTAGCGCGCCTCAGCTGCTAATGTGTGACCTGCTAATGTATCGCCCGACCCGCACCGCTGCATTCCCTCCGCCCCCCCCCCCCCGCCTCCTGTGCCTTCCGTCGGGGTGGGTCATCGCCCCAGAGCTGTCTCGGATCACCGGCGACCCAACATTGCCCAGGGTCTTCCTGGAGAGGGACGGGGGGGGGGGAGGTGACCAACGACATCATTTACATCCCGAGAGCAGCGCTTCTGACGGTCTGGTCCGGGGGCGGAGCTGGGCGGGCGGATGGCCATCAAGTCATGCACTGAGTGATGTGGCGCCGCCCCGACACGCTCAAAGGGCAGGCCGACGACCGTTGGTGCTTTATGGACCTCTGTGCAGCTGAGAGTGTGTGGACTGTGTGTGGCGAGTATCAGGGAGCAAGAGGCTTGTTATTTGGCGGATGGCAGAAGAGTCAGAGGTCTGTGGGTGGGTTATTGTAAGGCTCGGGTGTTTGAAATCGGGAGCAATGAAAGCGATTTTGAGGCTGGAAGATGGAACAGAGCTCAGCAGTGCAAGGTGAAATGGGAAAAGGTCGGCCAAAAGGAAGGCACGGGAGGCCATAATCTTGGCTAGCAAGTTTTATATCGGTAATTGGTGGCCATAAAATATAGGCTAAAACTTCTCACGGAAGACTCCGATTGTTGTCTCGCTGAATTCAAACCCGGTGATGTCCATTTAGAGCAGGCAGCGACATCCTTGACCCGGTCAGCCGATCCGTAATCGGTTGCGGTGACCTGCCCCGGTCTTGGCTAGCAAGTTTTATATCGGTAATTGGTGGCCATAAAATATAGGCTAAAACTTCTCACGCAAGACTCCGATTGTTGTCTCGCTGAATTCAAACCCGGTGGTGTCCATTTAGAGCAGGCAGCGACATCCTTGACCCGGTCAGCCGATCCGTAATCGGTTGCGGTGACCTGTGCCGGTCAAGGGATCCCGCGAGCCGTGATTGATGTGTTTGTCGGAGGTGAGCTATGATAACCTCGGAGATGATGAGGTGAAGAGGTTAAATGATGGTTCCGCCATGGGACGCACCGCTCGGCCAAGAGCTGTCATTAAACGATTAGATTAAGATGCCGCGCAATCATGATTATTGGTTGTTGTGTAATTATACTGAAAACCTCTATCATCGTTGCAAGTGTCTCTGTGGAAAACAATGGTTTGAAACCAGTTCACTCAACCTACTTTTATTTTAACCTCGTAATCTCAGCGAATCAGGACCCTAATCAAATAAGTGCTCTTAAATTAATCAACTGCTAATGAGCTGCCTCGCGCTTGACACGGCGGATATATTGACGGACGTAACCCGTTTCTGAGCCGTTTGTCTGCCAGTCTGAGCCGCCTAACAGGCTCAGCCGTCTGAGCTGCCAACAGGCTGCGTCTCTACGACTGAGTGACGGCAGCGGATGGCTGGAGTGAGTGCCGTCTTTCCGCATCACAGAGCAGCCGGTCCACTGCCGTTGTCTGCTGATCTAACCTATATCTAACCTTCTTTTCAGGATCTGGCCTGCAGGACCCGGCTTATCTCTGAACTCAGCGGCGTGACTACGAGACGGAAGTTACTGCTGACTTCCTAACTGACGCGAAAGCCAAAGGTTGGTTGGTTGCTCTTGCTTGTTTTAATTTGAGATTGTGCCATGGGCCATTGTGGTAGTTGATGTTGGCTAGTTTTTTTTTTCAATTTTCAAATCAAATATGATTTATCGTGGCTTTAAATTGTGGCTACAACTTTGCGTAAAAACACGTGTTGTAACCGTGCATACGGCCGCCCGAAGTTGCGAAAGCGCCACATGATCCCATTTTCTGTCGCTATGTGCTGCTTTCTGCATAACCTTGCTCAGCACGTTAACGATATGTCTCACTGTGCGTGGAACTGCGCTTATGCTGTGTCCGCGTCGTCCTGTCGTCTATCGGTGTTCACAGTAGGTACGTGTATCTTTGTCTCCATCTCTCGCACCGTTCGCTCGGTGACCTGGTGGCTGATAGCGGCTGTACAGACGTGTCGCCCCGGCCGTGCCGACAACCGATAACGCGCTGTGTTTCGGCCCAGCGCACAGTGGGGATTTTTCCGATCTAGCGCCTATTAATTCAAAAAATCTTTTTTGGATTTTTGTTTATTTTTTGTGTCAGTAGGGCTAAGAAATGTCTGAATTTTTCATATATGGCATTGTTTTATCTGATGTCCACAGCAAAACTAGGAAAAATGCGCCCAAAGTTCACACTCATGCGTGGTTACTCAATGGGCTCAGCAAGGCCCGAAAGTATAGCTCAATTTCATTGTCCTGTCCTGTTGGTTTTAATCTTGCGAGGTCTTAAAGTTGCATATCGTCTGAAAGGCACCTTTGTTAGGAATGGAATGGCAAACAGAAAGTATGCCACAACCTTACTAAGGTCACAAAAATGCCCTTTACAAAAAACCCTTACAGACACCATATTGAAGGAATGGTATTCCAAATAAATGTAGGAAATCAACAATGTTCTCCACACTTTTCCACTCCGAAATATATCCTATCGAATTCGACACTTTCTTCTGCACAAGACAACGCCTAGTTTGGCTGCCGAAACTTGCCTGAACACGGAATATTCACATTAGAGTATCTTAACACCCCACTCGAGGAGCGCTAGGGCAAACAGCACGATATAGGTATGTTCCGGACATAGGCGAATAATTTTACTTCGTGATTTATATGATGCATATTTTCTGAGACACATTCATTAGGAATAGGATGACAAGCGTAAATCATACATACCGTAACCTTATTAACCATCGCACTTGTGGGGAGGGGGAGGGGGTAGGGGTCGGATAAACCCCATGGTTTTCCGCAAATTACTCGCGCAAAAAGCGGCCGATCGCGCCGAAACTTTCGGTACCCCCGAGATCATCAATTTTACATCTAACCTAAAAATTTCATGACTCTGACCCAACTGACCTTTGACCTGTGGCATATTTCTCGAGACCATGTTTGGCCGGAATCGCGATTCGGCGTATGCCAGCTCACATTATCCGCGGTTTCCAGTCTTTTTGTGGTTTTAAACGTTCAAATATGTGAAATAATGTTGGTGCCATGCATAATGGTGGGAGTCAAGGTCACGTGAAGGTCAAGTCAAGGTCATTGACCTTTTGATGACCTTGGTTCACTTTTTCGAGTTTTACTTGTTTCTAGGGTAGTTTTTGGTGCTGATTTCGATTTTAGCAGCCATTTGAATATTTACGAAGTAGTTCTAGTGCCTTCGTTCCATGTTACGAAGCTACCAGTAGTAGGTGACACTTCTATGGATGGCCGGCAGGACGCCTACTAATTGATCTAATCTGACCTGACCCGACCTGGCCTAAATGCATAAAGACATCGTCTGTGATCAAAACAAACATGAAATTCGTGATCAGCACCCCAAAATACCCCGTAACACCCTAACTTTGCGAAGTTTCAAGAGGTCTCGATTTCCCAACTTTAGTTGGGTCATTAAACTGACTTGGAAAGTCAGCTTATGACCTTGGACTTTGAAATTGGATATATTCGGCCTAATTTCGTCGTAGGCAGCACGCTTGACTTTTCCGCGAAGCTCTAGCTTGATCAGGGGCCAAACGGCTGAGCGGGGGGTCCAATTGAACCCCCTATACTATGTTGACTATGCACATTTACAGGTAAAATTCTCACCAGGACACACCAGCCAACATCTGTGCACAATTTGGCTACAATTCTACCTATGGTTTGCCCTTTACGAATAAATACGTGCTAGATCGGAAAAATCCCCACTGTGCAGCGCCCCGGAAAGGTGACAGGGCACAGACGAGGACCGGACATTTGGGCTCATTGGCTGGCTTTTCAGCCTTATCCACCGACCAAATCAGGTCACAGGCTACTCCGGCAGACCACTTCAGCCTCAAACTCGCAGTTTGTTGTGCCGATCCCGTCCTAGTGCTCATTGAGCTCGTTCTCACGTCGTTATGGGGCCATTCGTGGCGCTGTTGATTCAGCAGCGATGGCGGCACGGTCGGTGCTTCGGCGGCGGTCGGCGCAGTGAGCAGCGGTTTGATACGATGTCGGCCTCGCCAGACGAGTATTACGGCCCAGCTTGGGTCTGATCCCCGGGACGGCGTGGAAGGCTAAACGGCCGTGAAACGGCCGGTATCCTGCAGTCTGATGGGGGGCGACCGGCAATCAGACGGCGGGTGTGCGGCAGTCGGACTGTGGGTTTTCGGCAATCACGCTGTGGGTGTTCGGAACAATGAGCTGGCTGCTCGGGGCGGTAGACAGTAGGCGGTCGGCCGTCAGACGGTGGGTGGTCCGCGGTATTAAATGACGGCTGCGGCTGATGGGGTGGCCACGAGCCCCCTTCCCGTCTGTTGTTAGCGCTTCAGACGGATCTAAGCTGGCGTTTCCTTCCCATGTTTACAAAATTGTCGCTACATCAGTCATTAGTAGGTCGTCCTCAACGGCTGGTTAACACAGAACATGGTGCAAGTTGCAACTAGGCGGCAGGTCTCCCCAAGGATTACATAGTATACTTCTCATGCTCATCAGAGCAATTTGCCGCTGCTAGCTGCTCGACTTGTAATAAGACTGCTCTGATGTCAGTTATTGGTCATATGTACAGGTCTCGCGGGTTTTAGCGGTAGGTTTTGCACCTAGAAAATTTAGGGTACTTCAGGCTATGTCTCCGTCGTCTTAATCTTTTACGTGTTGAAGATGCGATCGACTTGTTGGTTCACAAGCCGGCCATTATCGTGTAAAATGACTTCATCGTAGATCGATTAGTTTCTGAGATATAGCCGGAAATGTAAAAGTGCAAAACCTACCGCTTAATCTCGCGAGAGCCGTACCAATGTGACCGTGTTGGCCACTGAAGTGGACAGCTGACAAAAAGCGATTACATCAATCGGTGGGGAAATCGCTCCATTGACATCTGAGACGGCCTGTGTACAACAATGACAAACAGAACCAACTCGAATTAGTGCGAGTGACGCAACACGACAGCCGCCGGCATTGCGACGCATTGTTTAGAGTCGTATACGATACGATCATCCTTGTGAAGACTGTGATCTTGTTTAGTAATGACGGAGCTCCTACCGACAGTTTCTCTATGCCTATACTGTCACAGCCGATTACCCGGTACTGAGGAGAAATGCGCACGGTCGGATACGGTCTGATGGGTGTTGTTGTTCGAACAACTCCCATCGGATTTTCCTTGCTGAATCGAACTCGATTTGCGGAACTTTCCTCGCAGAATGGATGCTGTAGACTGGCAAAGAATGCGAAATAAGACAGCAAACAAGCCAATCGACGTGTCTTGGCGAGCAGAAAAAGCAGCAAATTAAATAAGGGGAAATGTCGATTTCCCTACATGCCCTAATCGGGATCAATAAATGGTTTCTCACAATTAGGGTCGACAAGCAGCTGCATACTCGTAAATGGCAAGGACTCAGCGTTAGGGGACATTACAGCTGTCGAAATCACCTTGAATACGGGCGCAGTGCAGTAACAAAGGTCGTAGCGGCTTCCTGTTGCACCTGCCATCGACTTTCCTGTATTTAGCCTGCATTCCGGGGCTGTTGCTCCGTGCTCGGTCAGCTGACGCCGGCTGGCGCCGGCCGTCCTGCCCGCCACTGACGACAGCGCACCGCACTGAACCAGTGTACGGCAGGCAGTCGACCGGTCGCAGGGCCGCGGTCCGACGGACCACCTTTGTTTGTCACACCTGACGCGGCTTTCACTCCTTCCTCGAATGCGGTGTCTGTCTCCAGTTTGTGGTCGGGTTGCCGACCGCCGCGGACCTGGCTCAGCCCCGGCAGCGCTGTTCCCTGAATACCGACGGCTGATCTGACCAGGGAACCCATTCGCGCTGTGCGCTGATCGCAGAGAATGTGGGATGAGTGGTCAGCGCCACCGCCGGCCGCTCATCAGTATTGGGGAGCAGCCGGCAATATAGGCGTCTGAATGCGGCGCTGCGGCGACGATTAGCGGCGGACGGCCGCGCCGTGACCGGTCGGCAACCAGCCTCTCCGGACTGGGAGGCCTGGTGACGAAACCGTCCGTCCCAATAGAAACCAATGTCATCTTATCTATGCTAATTGCTGGCGAACCCGTCCGTCCCAACCCAGGAACCCTGGTTATCCCGCCCGGGCCCCGCTGCTTTACGTTCAAATCGTTCTGACCTCGACTTGACGTCCCGTCGCGTCTGACTCGAATGGCAATTTGACAAACAACACAGTCAGCCTCTTATACCGCCTTCAGTCCGACCGTTGTCATCTCGTCTCAAACCCATCACATCAGTCACACCAGTCCGTCACATGTGACCGCTGGGGCATTCCACGATAGATCGTACCAGGCCCGTCACCCTCATCTCTCAGATTTTAGTGAAAATCGGTCCCAGGGGTAATCATAGGCCCCAAAGACGCCTGGCAAAATATCAGACTTCTCAGATCAAAACTTTTTGAGTTATATTGCATTACATTTTTTTAACTTCGGTATGTAACGGTGAGTTTGATGGCCTATAACTCAAGAACGGGTTAAGCAACCAAAAAAAAGGAAACAACACTAAGCTTGCGATGAATCAAAAATTAATATTAGGTACTATTTAAAAATTCCAAAGAAAA